TGAGGTCACTACACCTTGATAAAACATTTAACTTTTTGCTGCCTGATGAGGTCATTACACCTTGATCAAACATTTAATTTTTTGCTGCCTGAGGTCACTACACCTTGATAAAACACTTAACTTTATGCTACCTGATGAGGTCACTACATGCAGTTTTCAAGTCTTGACGTCACTCATTGTCAGTGAGTTGGGCTGTTTTTATACAAATGATACAATGAAATAACCACATATACTACAACTTTCTGAACATGCAGTTTTCAAGTCTAGACGTCACTCATTGTCAGTAAGTTGGACTGTTTTTATACACATGATACAATGAAATAACCACATATACTACAACTTTCTGAAGATGCAGTTTTCAAGTCTTGACGTCACTCATTGTCAGTAAGTTGGACTTTAGTTATACGAATGGTACAAAGAAACAAACCACACGTACTACATCTTTTTGAATATGAAATTTTCAACTCTAGATGTCACTCATTAGCAATAAGTCGGACTGTGGTAATAAAGATGATAACCTGAACATGTAGTTCAAAAACATTATTAGAACAGTTATTAGCCAATGACAGAAAAATTTTAATTATCTTTATTTCTATATAGGTGAAAAAAATTAAATATTCACACCTGACAGATTTCCTGAAATTGATGAATTTGGGGAAGTTTGAGTTAAAATGGTGTATTTACGTAGTTTTAGATGTCTTACAAATCAAAAATCTTACTCATTTTACTTTAAAATAGTAAATACCTTGACTTGTTTCAGTCATTTTTGAACAGACATTTTTTGTTGAAACATTTTACTTCGTTTTTTTGAAGCTTAACATCCATTTATATTTATACTCATATAATAAGGTTATTACTTACGTACAAGAAAGTAATAAAAAGAAGGAAAACGTGAACAATTTCACAGATTTTTAGATAGTTTTTTTGTGTGTGAAAGTCTTGTAAAATAAAAAAAAAAATTCTATTTAAAACTAACTTCTATTTAATACACCGTATTGTTTGTACACTAATAATTCTGATATTAAATAAAATTAGGAGCAACAAACACTTCTCAAGTGAAATAACAATCCGATTAATTACGTTAAACGGTAAGTTTCAAATAGTGTAATGTGCGGAAAATGCAACCACGCGTTGCATTAAAATATCAGATAGGGTGCGATAAAATAAACAGTATGATAGAAGGTATGTCAGTTTTAATTGGTAGGGGTATAATAATTCCGACAGCTTTATTGTCCTGTTGTTCATTGTTAGAATATTTCATTGTTAAGCACAAGTGAAGGGCGTTGTGTAGTGCTAATTGTTTTCTAAGCTAAAGGTATTGGGACGACAAGAATTACGCCTCTCCCCGGAATGTTTCATAATCTTCATATGCGTGGTCTAAGAAGGGGTGAAGCCTTTTCGTGACTTTTGTTGGTAAAATAGACGAATCATAGAAAAAAAGTCCTGTAATCAGTACAACAGGCGGATAGATAGATAGTTGGGCGAATAGATAGATAATTAAGTGCATAACTAGGTAGATATATCTGGGTGAATGGATGGAGAGGAAACTAATTATTTTCAACATAATTAACAATGGTATTGAGTCACTAATTGAGACGGTTCTTAACAATGGTTGCTGTTTCTTACTAATAGAGACGTGTCGAATTCTGTTTAACGTTGTGATAAACTTGAGAACTTGAGTAGTAAATGAATATGACGTAGAATATTTTGAAATAATTTATAATTACAGCGTACTTGAGACATGTGCTTAACTTTTTTATTTTTCAAAAAGATAAGCACAATGTTTTACTGAAACACTTACATTATAACATTCTCATCTCAAACGTTTATCAGTCCTCGAATTATGAATTATCTTTACGCATTGCTTTCTAAGATCTGAGGATCTATGGTTCGCGCCCCGTTACCGCGAAATCGTTATCCGCGTTTTGGGGCTTTTAAAATTGACAGTTAAATCTCATTATTACATCAGAGTAGCCCAAGAACTGCCTTCACTTTAGCTTATCAGTTCAAAAAGTAAGGGCGACTAAGGCAGATAACTCTTGTGTAGCATTGCGCGTAGTTTCGAAAAACAACACATTTTCTAAACTATTTGTGCGCCAAGTTTCTTCTGGGTCTATGATTTGGCGGGTTACAGGGTCCCTAATAACACAAAGCACTTAATCCCATAAAGTACAGCTGAAGTTACGTGTATAGTCTTTATAGAACGTGAGTGATATTCATCCAGTTTCTTTGGTCAGTTCTTTACACTGAATGTTGTGATAAACAAAAACGTAAA